AGTCAAACTGACATTTTTGTATTAATAAAGTAGCAAAAAACTATGCACTGCTTACATCAGATACTCTATTTAGAGATTTGGTAATCGTGGTCTGTTCGTTTGGCATAGCCCTACAGATCAGGCTTTAGCGAGCCAGTGAAGCATATCTAATGCACTTCTTACGTGCCTACTGTAATAGTTCCTTAGCGTTTGGCTCGCATCACAGGGATACACTATAGATAGGCTGGAAGCAGGGTGACTACAATCATGATAAAAATGCATGAATGGTAGTTGCCTGTAGTGCTATAGTCTTGAGAATGGAACGGTATCTAGCTGCTTCAAATTCCCGGTGGGCTGATAAAAACGTTTGTGTCCTTGAAGAAAGCACTAGAGCTTTGTTTACTAATGAAAATCCAACACAGAAGTGTAGTGGTTCAGGTTTAACCTTGAGAATACATTTGGAGTCAAGGTACTTTTCTGAAACTGACTACAGAGGCATGGCTGATTCAGGAGAAAAGCCTGGCTTTACCAAAGACACAACAACACTGTTGCCGGAGTAAGACCAACAGGGACATTGAATGTTCACAGGTGACGCCACTCCCTGTTATGCCTCAAATTAGCCCCTCCCCTCACACATGATGATGACGTCATCTTTAAATGCCCCCATGTAAATAACCTAACATTTGTCTTACTCCTGCTGCTGCTACAGCTGTTGCCAGTATAATAGAGGTATTTTCACTTCTGCACTTTTCTTTTCTTTTTTTTAAGTGTCCAGAAAGGTGCCGCCCTAACTAATAAAATATACTATTAGAATTATCATAGAGGTCCATTACAAGTGCAAAAGAAAGTTGTCCACAGAGACTTTCAGTCTGACCTCACCAGATGGATGCTGTAATACTGGTCTACCTGTTCTGAATCAGAACTTGTTTTCAGCTTCACTTGTCTGCCCTTTGATTTCCAGCATGTAGGCCCTCTTGGAGTTTTTATAGGATTTGTTTTATTGAGCCACATTCTTACATGCAGTTAGGACTGGCCGATATGGTCTAAAAATCATATCTCAATTATTTTTCAAACTTATGGGCGATTCACGATATCTTGATTTTTAATGTTTTCTGTAAATACGCTTAGGTCAATAAACTGCATTTCAAACAGTCAGGAATAATCTAATGAATTTAGGGCATGTAAAATTATAAATGCGTATTTTTATGCTCATTGCACATTTATAAAACAGAGACTGGACCGCTAGCACATAAGTTTATGGCTAAAATGCTGCTAGCGGTAGGCCCCCCTCCTTTAATTCTCACAGAAACCTGTTTGTCACAATTTATTTTCAACACTTTCCCTGGATGCCAGTAGTCTTGCTCAACAAAAAATGTAATCTGTCTCTTCGCAACCTTTTAAGTCACTCCAACAAAATGATTTTGAGGTACATTGATCTAATATTTTGTCATTTTAGAAAATCTAATGAAGTTAAATCTATAAACAGTTTTATGTATACCAGTAGGGGACCCTAAAGATAAATGGTAAGAGCATTTAAAAAAAAAAGTAGTACAATTTTTAAGTGAGTATGATTGGGGCAAAATGCCCCCAGGGCAATCAATGCAAGTCAATGGTACCTATATTAGCATTTTCCAAATCATGTCCAAATCATCTTTAAGTAACATCTTTGAGTTACACAATACATTTTCAGATGCTTTAGGATGATTTGGACATGAAGGATGAAAATAAAAACCTGCTTTTATAGTGAGGATATTAATAGTGAGTAGTGCTGAGCGATTAGTGTTTTTTTCTCTCTGTCGTTTCAGTTCGATTATATTTTTTTAAATCACAGATTTCTGTTTCAATTATTTTTTTAGACGCTAAATGAACTATGTATTATGTGGGTTGAATGCTGTAACACAATTAATCAAGTCCCATGATGGTAGTGACTGCCCATTACTGCTTATCACTTATTAACCATCATTTATTCACTTTACTTAATACAATTATTTTATTTGATGACTTTATTATTTCATTCCAAGTCATCTCATTTCTATAGATCTGCTGCCTATGCTGTCTGACAAAATCACTATTTTAGTAGTTCTTCAAAGTAAATAAGGCATACTTTTATGACTGCTGAATACCAACTATCAATCACTTAGATCATGTATTTTCAGGCTCGCGAAGCAACTGCTTTCTATCATCCTCGATTGCAGCTTCTCTTCTCTCAGTCTCCTTGTCTGCTCCGCACAGAACGGACAAGTTTAAGTGGGCGCACAATGGATTATGGTCATTGTTGTTAATTACCACGTTTTCTGCGCTAAACTATGTAGAATATTGGCCTGTAGGAAACTACAACTCCCTACTACATCGCACATGTTCAGGCTTCATCTGATCTTGACAGAAACTGCACATCGAGCTCACAGAAAACCCCAAAATGGAATTCAAATAATTGAACCGACGTCAGAAAATAACAAATTTCTGTAAATCGCTCAGCACTAATAGTGAGATGTGCAATGTCATTTTATTCCGATATTTCATTTATTAAAATAAGATACCTAGACTTTAGCTTTTAAAAGTCAGTTACAATAAAATGCCAAAATAGCACGCATAAAATGGGTTTTAACACACTAATCTTCAGGGGGCATTTTGCCCCATAGAGGAGGGTGTTTTGCCGATAGTGGGGCAAAACACCCCAGTACTAAAGTTTCTGTTCTTATTGAATAACAACAACAAAATATTCTGCCCTCTTATTTCTCTTTTAAAATGAGTTTACCTAAGGATAGCCAGTATGCACATATCTAAATCTTTTATCTGTCCGTAAATAGACGTTTTCCTCCAAATTACCCTACTCTCGTTTTAGTCGGGTCTGCTCTGTTGGGAGATGAGACATAAAAACGGTATCGTTAGAAATGTAAAGTTCTCGTCTATGTCTCTAAGCGTTTCGGTGTCCATATGACCGATTTCTATTGGACCAAACCTCAAATGCAAATGGAGAGTTTAAACTGCTTGTCAAAGAGGAAGAAGTGATATTTCGTCTTTGTTGTTGTGAGTGATAGGGTGAGGGGCTTGGTGTCTGTGTGAGTGGTAGGGTGAGGGGCTTGGTGTCTGTGTGAGTGGTAGGGTGAGGGGCTTGGTGTCTGTGTGAGTGGTAGGGTGAGGGGCTTGGTGTCTGTGTGAGTGGTAGGGTGAGGGGCTTGGTGTCTGTGTGAGTGGTAGGGTGAGGGGCTTGGTGTCTGTGTGAGTGGTAGGGTGAGGGGCTTGGTGTCTGTGTGAGTGATAGGGTGAGGGGCTTGGTGTCTGTGTGAGTGGTAGGGTGAGGGGCTTGGTGTCTGTGTGAGTGGTAGGGTGAGGGGCTTGGTGTCTGTGTGAGTGGTAGGGTGAGGGGCTTGGTGTCTGTGTGAGTGGTAGGGTGAGGGGCTTGGTGTCTGTGTGAGTGGTAGGGTGAGGGGCTTGGTGTCTGTGTGAGTGGTAGGGTGAGGGGCTTGGTGTCTGTGTGAGTGGTAGGGTGAGGGGCTTGGTGTCTGTGTGAGTGGTAGGGTGAGGGGCTTGGTGTCTGTGTGAGTGATAGGGTGAGGGGCTTGGTGTCTGTGTGAGTGGTAGGGTGAGGGGCTTGGTGTCTGTGTGAGTGGTAGGGTGAGGGGCTTGGTGTCTGTGTGAGTGGTAGGGTGAGGGGCTTGGTGTCTGTGTGAGTGATAGGGTGAGGGGCTTGGTGTCTGTGTGAGTGGTAGGGTGAGGGGCTTGGTGTCTGTGTGAGTGGTAGGGTGAGGGGCTTGGTGTCTGTGTGAGTGGTAGGGTGAGGGGCTTGGTGTCTGTGTGAGTGGGAAGGTGAGGGGCTTGGTGTCTGTGTGAGTGGGAAGGAGCACACAGCACAGAAGGAGAGAAGGAGAAGAGACCAAAAAGACAGAATGATAAAAACAAAACAAAAACGCATTTTCTTTCGATAGTCATTTGGAACATTGTACTAAAACATAAATTGTAATTAATCTAATAAATTCGATATATTGCCCAGACCTACATGCAGTGTGTGTGTGTGTGTGTGTCAGTGTGAGAGTGAGTGCTTGTTGCCTGTCTCTACCTCAGTGCCTCTGCAATTTAATTTCCTCCACCTTCTTTCATCTGGTTGTTTTTACTGCCAATGCTCTAATCCCAGTGTTAGTTTGAGGGCTTGTGTGTCTCCTGGGATCCAGTTGAAATGCATTACGGGTTACGTGGCTAATACAGTATGTACAAGATGTATCCTAGCTACACAGCCTTGGCTTGGCAGCCATGGGCTCAACAACAAGGATCCCCAGCCGAGCTGCTAGACAACTCGCAGTCCACCGTCCCTCTGGTTCTCTGTTCTTCTCTTCTCTCGCTCCCTCCCTCCCAGCCCACATTCCCTCTGGTTCTCTGTTCTTCTCTTCTCTCGCTCCCTCCCTCCCAGCCCACATTCCCTCTGGTTCTCTGTTCTTCTCTTCTCTCGCTCCCTCCCAGCCCACTGTCCCTCTGGTTCTCTGTTCTTCTCTTCTCTCGCTCCCTCCCTCCCAGCCCACAGTCCCTCTGGTTCTCTGTTCTTCTCTTCTCTCGCTCCCTCCCTCCCAGCCCACAGTCCCTCTGGTTCTCTGTTCTTCTCTTCTCTCGCTCCCTCCCTCCCAGCCCACTGTCCCTCTGGTTCTCTGTTCTTCTCTTCTCTCGCTCCCTCCCTCCCAGCCCACAGTCCCTCTGGTTCTCTGTTCTTCTCTTCTCTCGCTCCCTCCCTCCCAGCCCACAGTCCCTCTGGTTCTCTGTTCTTCTCTTCTCTCGCTCCCTCCCAGCCCACTGTCCCTCTGGTTCTCTGTTCTTCTTGTCTCTCTCTCTCTTTGTTTTCCTCTCCTCTCCAGGCTGGGTTGTCAGTACGTGTGTATGATGGGATCATGCACACACCATGAGCTCCTGTCTCTGGAATCCTTTCATTTTTAGTTTGGCCCTCCCTTTTCTCCTTGTTTTCTCTGCCTCTGTGCTTCTCCTGTGTGGCTAGTTGTCCGTTGGCTCCACCTTGACTCCATCTCCTGGCTTCTCCTATGTGCTCTGTGTTTGAGGGAAGGGGAAGATACAGGGGAGGTGGAGGAAGGTAGTGCTGGGGGCTGTTGCTGAGCCCAGGGCATAGCTCTCTCTCGGTCTGTGTTGACACAGCAGGTGTTGATTTGACTCCACAGTAGGGCTGTTTGTTCCATGCCATACCTCAGCTCAGCAGCAGCATGGAAAGGAAAGGGCAAAAACAAGCCAGAGCCAGGCACTGAAGGTCGTTAGGGAGATAACAATATGACAAACTGACTCGCTCTCCCTCAGTCTCGGTTGTTTTAGTGAACAAAGACAGGGTCTCCGTTTGCACTCCCTCTCAATAACAGCTTGGATTATTTCTCCAGGCTTGATATTCTGAAAAGTTGTAACTCTTGTACATGTAGCTGTCTCACTAATTATCTTTCTCTCCCTTGATTTCTTTCTCTCTCGCTCTCCCTCCCTCCCTCCCTCCCTCCCTCCCCCCTCCCTCCCTCCCCTCCCCCCCTCCCTCCCTCCCTCCCCTCCCTCCCCCCTCCCTCCCCTCCCCCTCCCTCCCTCCCCTCCCTCCCCCTCCCTCCCCCTCCCTCCCCCTCCCTCCCTCCTCCCCTCCCTCCCTCCCTCCCTCCCTCCCTCCACCTTCAGGTGATCCTGTACTCTGGGGACAGGGCCTATGAGGACTACTACCCTGCAGTGAAGGGGCGGGCCCACTTCAACTCAGCCGACCCTAAGAATGGCGACGCCTCCATCAACCTAACGGGTCTAAAGTCTAGTGACACTGGGACCTACCAGTGCAAGGTGAAGAAGGCCCCGGGCATCCGCAGCAGGAAGATGCTGCTGACCGTCATGGGTGAGTGAGACACCACTGGTGACATCTTAAAAAGCCACTACTCTTTATCTATCTTCTGAGTAAAAACTCCAAACACAATGCCCTTTAAAGGGTACATGTGGCTAACTAGATAATTGTTCATGTAATGCCCTCCTCTAGAATGGTGTGGTGCAGTGGAGGCTGGTGGGAGGAGCTATAGGAGGACGGGTTCATTGTAATGGCTGGAATTTGATTAATGGAACGGTATCAAACGTATGGAAACCATACATACATACACTACATTACCAAAAGTATGTGGACACCTGCTAGTCGAACATCTCATTCCAAAATCATGGGCATTAATATGGAGTTGGTCCCCCCCTTTGCTGCTATAACAGCCTACACTCTTCTGGGAAGGCTTTCCACTAGATGTTGGAACATTACTGCGGGGACTTGCTTCCATTCAGCCACGAGCATTAGTGAGGTCGGGCACTGATGTTGGGCGATTAGGCCTGGCTCGCAGTCGGCGTTCCAATTCATCCCAAAGGTGTTCGATGGGTTGAGGTCAGGGCTCTGTGCAGGCCAGTCAAGTTCTTCTACACCGATCTCGACAAATCATTTCTGTATGGACCTCGCTTTGTGCACGGGGGCATTGTCATGCTGAAACAGGATAGGGCCTTTCCCAAACTGTTGCCACAAAGTTGGAAGCACAGAATCTTGTAGAATGTCATTGTATGTTGTAGCGTTAAGATTTCCCTTCACTGGAAGTAAGGGGCCTAGCCCGAACCATGAAAAACAGCCCCAGACCATTATTCCTCCTCCACCAATCTTTACAGTTGGCACTATGCATTCGGGCAGGTAGCGTTCTCCTGGCATCTGCCAAACCCAGATTTGTCCGTCGGACTGCCAGATGGTGAAGCGTGATTTGTCACTTCGCAGCTGAGCCGTTGTTGCTTCTAGACGTTTCCACTTCACAATAACAGCACTTACAGTTGACCAGGGAAGCTCTAGCAGGGCAGAAATGTGAAAGGTGGCATCCAATGACGGTGCCACATTGAAAGTCACTGAGCTCTTCAGTATGGGCCATTCCACTGCCAATGTTTGTCAATGGAGATTGCATGGCTGTGTGTTCGATTTTATACACCTGTCAGCAATGGGTGTGGCTGAAATAGCCGAATCCACTAATGTCAAGGGGTGTCCACATACCTTTGTGTATATATAGTGTACTTCAGTCTGAGACTGACGTTGTTTGTGGTGACGTCACAACGAGGGGCATGTACAAAACAAAGTCATCAGCGATTGGATCATCTCTAACCAATCAGAGTATCAAAGCAAATGACGAATTGGCCCATCCCATCGGTATCTGGGACCAATCAGAACCGTTAGAATTTGTTTGCATTCTAGAACTGTATCAATGAGGTAATCAGATCCAGACTCATTGCGGAGAAGAAACTAACGTCCGTGGGTGTGGCGTAGTGTTTGGCCGAAGCAAGGAGTCTGGGTAGCCAGTCAAGTGTATGGCTGTTCGATGTGTCAACTTTACTCTGAAACTCCCCCAGTCACTCAACCATTCAGCATATTTACATAATGTATGAAAGCAGAGTAAAGTTGACACATCAGCAGTACTGATGTGGTCAAACAACATAGGAACTATTGCTAAGGCCCTGCACATTTTATCATAAACACTGCCTGTGCCTGGATAAAGTATGATTAGGACACAATTGTTTTCCTGGTTAACAACATCTCTCTATTGAGAAACTGGTGTTGTGACACAATTCGTTGGTGTTATATTTAACTGGCTTCAAAACAAGTTGGCTCCAAAACAAACTGGTTTCTAGTCATTCGTTTACACCAGTAAGCCTGGCTCGAAGCCGCTCTCTCAGGTCTACAGGAAGGAAGCTAAATTGATTCAGTAATGTCCAATGATTACCTGAGCCAACCGAGGAGAGATTGGCTTGAGCTGACTAGAGCAAATACCATGCAGAGGCATTTCTCCTGAGTTGGCTACAGAGCTGGTGATGTAGTGTCTGTCTATACTTGCTTAGTGCTGCTGCCCGGTAGAGGGTCTGACAGGCCTAAAGCCATTGACCCCTGGGGCAGAGCTATTCCTGTTCTAGAGGGCAGCAGTGTGACAAGGAGACATGAAGACCTCTTGCCTGCTCCCCATTATACCTTCAGGTCGCGCTTTTTTTATTAACAATAATAAATCAATACAAAGTTAAATGGGGAACACAAGTATTCATAAAGAGTATATAGGGCTCAGTTGGTAGAGCATGGCGCTTGCAACACCAGGGTTTGTGGGTTCGATTCCCACGGGGGGGCAGTATGAAAAATGTATGCACTCACTAACTGTAAGTCGCTCTGGATAAGAGCGTCTGCTAAATGACTAAAATGTAAATGTACAAAGGACAGTTGACCAAGGGGGTACAATAACACATTACACTAGGATCTTAAGGGATATACACACATTTGATAATTTTATCAGCTTTTTTGTTGGTAGAGTTTGTTTGTAAATATACATTTGTGAATATGAAATTTGTCCAAATGAATTCCCTTCCGGTCACAATGTAAATACTCCCGAGAACATTGGCAGACATACACATACAGACATGGTCTCTCAGATGGCACACAGTCACGCACTCTCAGATGCACACAGTCACACTAGTGCTGAGCGATTACAGCCTGGAATCGAACCAGGGGGTCTGTAGTGACGCCTCAAGCACTGAGATGCAGTGCCTTAGACCACTGATGCAGACCTTAAACTTTATTATTTCATTCCAAGTCTTCATCTCATCTCTATAGAGCTGCTGCCTATGCTGTCTTGACAAAATCCCTATTTTAGTAGTTCTTCAAAGTAAATAAGGCATACTTTTATGACTGCTGAATACCAGCTATCAATTTAGATCATGTATTTTCATATAGAGAGACCTCGCGCGTTCTTCTCTAATTTCTCCCTCTCAGTGTCTTCCCCACCCCGACCAGACAAATAGGCGGCAATGGATTATGGTCATTAGTTAATTACCACGTTTTCTGCGCTAAACTATGTAGAATATTGGCCTGTTGGAAACTAACTCCCTACTACATCGCACAGGCTTGATCTGATTTCTCTCTAGAAAAACTGCGCATTGAGCTCACAGAAAAAAAACGAACTAAATGGAATTCAAATAATAAAACCAACGTAACAGAAATGTAGGTTAATCGCTCAGCACTAACACACACACAGAGGCATCTTCCCTGAGTGCAGGTAACGTTGTGAGCTGTGTGTGTGTTGTCTCTCCCAGTATAAAGATGGACAGTGAAGTTAACAGGAGGAGAGCGCACACCTGCAGTCAGTACAGCACACTGGACAGGCACATCGGCAACCCTCAAAACCATTCACCATCTCTGCCTAGACCTCACATCAACCTTCAACAGCCAATCACTTTCACTCTGTCACCTTGGCCTCAGTCCCAACCAACCTATCACTGTCTCTCTACCCATAGGTCACTACATTCTTTAACAGCCAATCACTTTCTCTCAAGTTCCCTGATCTGAATCCCAAACAACCAATCAGCACTGCCTAGACCTCACTACAGCCTTTAACAGCCAATCTTTCTCAGTCTCCCTGGCCTCAGTCCAAACTGATCCCTCATGGTTTTTGTAACCACGTCTCTGTGGTCTACCACAATGTATCACGCTCACTTTATCCATATATACTCTACTGTACCCTATCTGTACCTCAATGTAGCCCAGTACAGCAATAAATCACCTTATCTTTAGCCCTTCATATTACACCACATCCATATAGTCCACCTCAACCAATCACTGTCTCCCTCTGGTCTCTACAGTATCTCTAAGACCATTCTTTCTTCTTCCTTTGACCTCATCTCTCGCTCATATCACACATATAAATCGGCTCCGATGAAGCTTCTACCCATTTTCAACAGGAAAATCTACATGTTGAGGCCATGATGTCAAGCTGACTTTGAGCTTTAATGTGAATTCAAAATGTCATTGCTGTATTACATTGTAAGACACACACACACAGTGCATGTGGACAGCCGACCGCCGAGTCAGGAGAGCGAGCAGCCTTGGCCCCTGTCATCCCTCCAACCGTCCATCAGCTCTGTTCTCTCACTCCTCCCCACTCTCGTTCTGTCTGCCCTGACCCCTGCCTATTAGATTAGATGGGCAGGGTGCTGCTCTGTGCTGTAGGATCCTACAGGACAGGGCTGTCTGGTGTTAATCCACATGGTTCTGTCCTCCCTCTCCCTGGGCTTTGTTGTTACCAAACCATGATGTCAGTGCTCCAGCACAACGCTCTATCTGAGAGACACACAGAGAGAGAGAAAGAGACAGTCGCACATACACACATGAATACACACACACACACACAGCCAATCAAGCTTTCTAAATGCCCCTCCACCTCACACCCCTAGCATAGTACCCCCTACCTCACCCCACCTCCACTCCTCCACTCCCACCGCTCCAGCAGACAGACAGCAAGTTCAGTTGGTCTGTTCATCTTTGCCTTGCACTGGATCTGGCCTGCTTTTAATTTGGAGCTTTCTTTGCTTTTGAATTCTCATCTCGTCTCCTGTCAACAGACGGAGGAGACTGTACGCTTGGCTTTCACAGAGGCCCCAACCCCACCGTGTGTGTCACGCTCTGATCTTAATTATCTTGAGTGACAGCACCTGTAATGACAGCAGCTGTATCAATGACCGTGATTACTGCTCTCATTACGCTGATTACTGCTGCTATGAGACACACACACACACACACACACACACACACACACAAAGCGTGGCAACCTGCCCAGGGGGGTGTGCAGTAGAAAATCAGGAAGGGTTTGTGTAGCTTCAAGCTAATTTCTCTTTTCCGCCATGTCTGCCATCTCTAATAGCTTATTCTCCCTCTCCTGTTAGTGAGGCCGTCCAAGCCCAGATGCTATGCCGAGGGCCCCACCCAGGAGGGTAAGGACGTGGTCCTGAGGTGTATGTCCAGTGAAGGTACCAACCCCCTGCAGTACACCTGGGAGAAGACCAGCGACAACAAACTGCTGCCTGCCTCCGCCGTGCTAGGTAATACACACACCGAAGATTTTCACAAAACGCAATGTGGTTACACAAGCCAGGTTTCACCATCCCCAGATGGAGCAGATGCTTTCAAACAGAATGGTTATTCACTGCAAAATGGACAGAAGGGTCTCCTGAACGTGCCGCTGTAATCTCTGTCTGTAGACCCTGTGGGAGGCACCATGAACGTAAGGAACGCGTCCACCAGCTCCTCGGGAACCTACCGCTGCACAGCTAAGAACCGAGTGGGCATGGAGGAGTGTATTCTACAGCTTGGCATCACTCCCCGTGAGTCCTTCACCACACCCTGATTCACCTTTATGTGGTCTTAATTGAAGATGATGATTATTTTAATGAGGTGGGCATTTGTGCTGAGGCCTGTATTGGCTGTATAGAATCAAGATGGTGGGATTGTGTAGTATGAGTGTTTTCATGATTTTCTCTGTCTGTGGTCTAGCCCCCAACACTGCTGGTATCATAGCTGGAGCCATCATCGCTGTTCTGCTGGCCCTCATCATCATCGCCATCATCCTCTTCTGCTGCTGCCGCGCCCGCAACAGGAAGAAGTATGAGAAGGAGATCTCCTACGAGATCAGGTAGGGCACTGCATTATTACACTATCAATACTGTGTAGGGGCCCCCAAACACACTTTCATTGTACAGGCACTGGTACATACTGCATCAAACTGATATAGCAGTGTAGTATGCATTATCTAACTATCTGTATGTGGGTTATTTGGCTGCTACAGCCTGAGATAAAGCAACGAAAACTAAATGCTAGTAGGTATGTGTCATTGTGACCATCCAACGTTCTCTGGCCCCAGCTACTCCCAGCCCAGTCTCCATCTCTCTCACACACACGCAGCAAAGGACAAGGAAAAAAGGTTGTCGCCCCATCAGCGTTTTCATTTTTTTTTCTAGCTTTGGTAATCAGTTTGGGAGCTTTGTTTGTTCTGTGGATCCAGTGTCTGCCCAGCCCCAGCCCCCCTGGACACGGCATTCCATCCACACAGCACAGGGCCTCCCTCCCGCCCTCTTTCTCTCTGTCTCTGGGTCTGCTAGCCTCAGCCTGGACACTGTCTGGCTGTCTGCCTGGCAGCACAGTAGAGCACAACAAATATTAGCCCAATGAGCACTGTGTCTGGGTGCCCAGCCCTGACACACACACACACACACACACACACACACACACACACACACAGAGGCACGCATACAGACAGGAATGCAAGCTTGCACACACAGACAAACACTTGTGCGCACACACACATACCATGCATGCACACATATTTACTAACATATTCAAAGCTACAGGCCCCTCAGGCTCAGTTTGAATGAGCTCTTTAATGGATTATTGCCTGTTATTAGTTTTTAATTGTGTTGGTCTGGGAGCTGAAGGGGGTTGGTGGGAATGAAGGTTGCTCCGTTACTACCGCTGAGAATCCTCATTCTTACTGTAGCTGACCAGAGCTGGCACAGTTAGAACTACATTCCATCCCCACTAGCTATCATCGCTGTCTCTTTCACTCCCTTCATCAACTCTGTCTGTTTGTCTTATTCACTCTCTCTTTCTGTCTCTGTCCCACTCCCCTCTGTCTGTTTGTCTTATTCACCCTCTCTATCTGTCCCACTCCCCTCTGTCTGTTTCTGTCTTATTCACCCTCTCTATCTGTCCCACTCCCCTCTGTCTGTTTCTGTCTTATTCACCCTCTCTATCTGTCCCACTCCCCTCTGTCTGTTTCTGTCTTATTCACCCTCTCTATCTGTCCCACTCCCCTCTGTCTGTTTGTCTTATTCACCCTCTCTATCTGTCCCACTCCCCTCTGTCTGTTTCTGTCTTATTCACCCTCTCTATCTGTCCCACTCCCCTCTGTCTGTTTCTGGTCTTATTCACCCTCTCTATCTGTCCCACTCCCCTCTGTCTGTTTCTGTCTTATCCACCCTCTCTATCTGTCCCACTCCCCTCTGTCTGTTTCTGTCTTATCCACCCTCTCTATCTGTCCCACTCCCATCTGTCTGTTTCTGTCTTATTCACCCTCTCTATCTGTCCCACTCCCCTCTGTCTGTTTCTGTCTTATCCACCCTCTCTATCTGTCCACTCCCCTCTGTCTGTTTGTCTTATTCACCCTCTCTATCTGTCCCACTCCCCTCTGTCTGTTTCTGTCTTATTCACCCTCTCTATCTGTCCCACTCCCCTCTGTCTGTTTCTGTCTTATCCACCCTCTCTATCTGTCCCACTCCCCTCTGTCTGTTTCTGTCTTATTCACCCTCTCTATCTGTCCCACTCCCCTCTGTCTGTTTCTGTCTTATTCACCCTCTCTATCTGTCCCACTCCCCTCTGTCTGTTTCTGTCTTATCCACCCTCTCTATCTGTCCCACTCCCCTCTGTCTGTTTGTCTTATTCACCCTCTCTATCTGTCCCACTCCCCTCTGTCTGTTTGTCTTATTCACCCTCTCTCTCTGTCCCACTCCCATCTGTCTGTTTCTGTCTTATCCACCCTCTCTATCTGTCCCACTCCCCTCTGTCTGTTTGTCTTATTCACCCTCTCTATCTGTCCCACTCCCATCTGTCTGTTTCTGTCTTATCCACCCTCTCTATCTGTCCCACTCCCCTCTGTCTGTTTCTGTCTTATTCACCCTCTCTATCTGTCCCACTCCCCTCTGTCTGTTTCTGTCTTATTCACCCTCTCTATCTGTCCCACTCCCCTCTGTCTGTTTCTGTCTTATTCACCCTCTCTATCTGTCCCACTCCCCTCTGTCTGTTTCTGTCTTATTCACCCTCTCTATCTGTCCCACTCCCCTCTGTCTGTTTCTGTCTTATTCACCCTCTCTATCTGTCCCACTCCCCTCTGTCTGTTTCTGTCTTATTCACCCTCTCTATCTGTCCCACTCCCCTCTGTCTGTTTCTGTCTTATTCACCCTCTCTATCTGTCCCACTCCCCTCTGTCTGTTTCTGTGTGTCTCTCTGTTATCTTTATTGTTTATCTTTCACTTTCTTTCTCTCTGTCTGGACCCCTGAGTGAAAATCCAATCCCAAGTGAATGTGAAAGGGAGTGGAATAGCTTGTATGTTTACATGTCTATCTCACTTTCTCTCCCCCCCCCCTTCAGAGAGGACGTCCCCCCTCCGAAGAGCCGCGTGTCGACAGCCCGCTCCTTCACCAGCGTGGGCAGCCAGCGCTCCTCCCTGGGCTCCATGTCCCCCTCCAACCTGCACGAGTATGCCCTCAAGCCCCAGTACGACAAGATCCCCTCCGTGGAGGAGTACGAGAGGCCCCCCAGCCACGCACCCCTGCCCCCGCCCGTCGCCAGCAAGATGGCCGGCCCCAACCTCAGCCGCATGGGCGCCATCGCCGTCATGATCCCCGCCCAGAACAGGGACGGCTCCATCGTGTAGTGGAAAGAAACAGAGAAAGATGGAGGGAAAGACTGGGGGACACTAGCCAGAGAGGTGGGGTGGCTGTGCTGCCTGATTCTACCCTCCACCACTCACCACCAACTGGGACCCCCACTCTTCTCTGCTCTATGGAGGTCTGGGTGTGGTGTTGTACTGAGGAGAAAAGAGAAGCCGTATTGTACCATGTCATATCAGACCCACTATGAACTATTTACTGAAGACAAAAAACAGAGTTTTACTTCCTGAACTTTCTGACAGACATATGAAAAATATGAATTCTAGGGTTGGTACATTTTAATGGTCAATTCACACAGGTTGCTTTGTACATAGTTGAATGCATTATGCTTTTTATCTAGCCGGCCCTGTCCATAGAGAGGTGTGTTCAGAGCAGACCAAGGTCTCTGATTGGCCTATAGTGTGTGTGTACAATGTACAGTATTACAGCGTTCTGTGTATGTTTCTGGGGGTGGGAAATGTACAGTTCTACTCTACTGTCTTTGGATGAAATACCCACATAATGATCAGACATATGTTTGATCAATTCACTTCTGTAACACACACCACTTTTTAAAGCTGTCTCAAGAATAGGGGTTGCCGAAGGGATTTTAGAGTTCTGCTTTTCAAAATAAATTGTTGTCAAGTAGTTACCTTTTTAATTATGTTCATTCCACTGGTTGGACTGTGGCTGATGTAATGGTCATGTTTGCCAGCCCTAAGAGAAATTAGGTCAGCTGGTTGTTATTTCGACGGTTGACCGTTTGAAATGTCCAGCTTGGGCTGGAGGGGACGGATGGACAGGGTTGGCTAACGACACAGAAGGGGGAGTTCAAACCACCACATCTTGTGATTAGTGGATGATTGTTTCTTTGTCTGGTTTCCAGTCCACCCCTCCAGTTCCTAGAACAGGCAGTGTTTTGGATAATAAGGGGGTAAAGGATGAGGTTCACTGAGCAATCATATTTGATTGTGTTTGACTGCCACCAGCCCAGGCCCCCAAACCCTCTGACCCCGCCAGTACACCCCTTCCCTCCCCCCAACACTGTATGCTATTATTAACCATCTCTGGTGTTTAACTATCAAATCCAAAGGTTTCCCCACAGTTAACCCCTGAAAATGTTATATTTGTAACTGCACACTCAGGATTCGATATCTCGATGAAACAACTCTCAATGGTCATTATGAAGTAAAATATGTTTAGTGGTTCATTCATGCACCACCATTCATGAAGGATAAATGAAGTATGTACAGTTTAGTAGTTTACATGATATATGGAAGGAAGTGAGTGTTAAGGGGAAGAAGAAGATATTAGAATACTGAGTCACAGGTGTTAGGTTTAGGCTGCACCAACAGTACAGTAACTCTGTTTTCCAGGGTGTCTGACGCACCCATGCTCTCTCACTCTCACACATACTCACAGCCCCCCAGTCAGTGCTTCTGCTCAGCCCAGATGGGGTGTTTCTGGGATTGACATCACTGTTCTTGTGCCTTGTCCCTACTGACTTGTATCACACACATACTGTTACAGCTACAGGCCAATAGGTTGGTGTGTGTGTGGGTGTGTGTGTGTGTGTGTGTGTGTGTGTGTGTGGGTGTGGGTATGGGTGGGGGTGTGTGTGTGTGTGTGTGTGTGTGTGTGTGTGTGTGTGTGTGTGTGTGTGTGTGTGTGTGTGTCTGTCTGTGGGTGGGTGTGTGTGGGTGGGTGGGGGTGTGTGTGTGTGTGTGTGGGGGTGTGTGTGTACCCAGACTCCCAGGCTGTGCTCTAGTCTTCTATCGTTGCTATGTGCCATACATTTTGTAGCCAGCTGTCGTTGTATGATACATGGCACAATAGTTGTCTACAGTACAGATGTAGTATGTCTGTAGTACTAGGCCCACATCGGGCATGACAACCAGTCCACTTTTCATGGTTCTGGTTCCTGTGTAAATCCACATCAACTGAGTGGAGGTTGGTTGCTTTACTCCCCCATCCAAATTACATTTTTTTCAATTACATTAGCTCTGTGTTTAAACATTAGCAATGAAAATATATATATATCCCAAACATTGATTCATACAGTTGTTGCTTATTTTTTCAGTTTTAATGCATTATTTGAGTTTTTTTCTTTATTTTTATGAAGTCTTTGGTTGTATGTGTAAATATACTGTAAAAGTGACACTATCTCTAGAACTAATCCCACCACACTTACTCTAATGCTCTCTGTATGTATGATGATGCTCTGCAGTGCTTTGCTTGGTTAATGTGTATCTAAAACATGATCGCTGGGTCTTATAACAGTAGAGGGTGAAAGCCCACTGATGTTAATCAGGTGGGCACCACTGGCATTCTACTGTAGCTATGTTTCAATATCCACATTAGCTTATAAATTATGATGAAGCAATAGCATGCATTGTAAATAGTATACTAGTATGGTTAATGAAACACACCCCGACTCTGTGTGTATGAATAGAATGTAGTAGATTTGAGGTGGATGAAGTGGGGGTGACAGGTGAAGAGCTCTTGGAGTTGTAGCCCCACGCCTCTCCTTGTTGTGGCAGGTGTAACCTCACACATGGGGACAGCAGCCACATCCTCCTGCTACACGAGACAGGACGTGAAACCCACCCCGTACACTACCCCAAGGCGGCAGGTAGCTTAGTGGTAAAGAGCGTTGTGCCAGTAACCGAAAGGTCGCTGGTTTTAATCCCCGAGCCGACTAGGTGAAAAATCTGTCGATGTGCCCTTGAGCAAGGCACTTAACCCTAATTGCTCCTGTAAGTCGCTCTGGATAAGAGCGTCTGCTAAATGACTAAAATGTAAAATGTAAAAATGTAATGTGGAAAACCTGTCATCTCTCTCTAAGCCCAGGGAACTGAGTGTGTGCTTGTGTGTATGTCTTTACTGTCTGGATGGGTCCCCAATATAGTATTTTAGTAGACCCCCAACTGCTGACAAACTGTACAGAGCCGTTAGGGAGTTAGTCATGTTGTACAGTCCCTCAACTCAGAAACCTAATAAGTACTACTAACATGGTATTAACTGTAGCTTTTAAAACAAGTGTACTAATATTGTATGAAGAATTTTCTTTGGGGGTTTGTTTGCACATTGTGTGATCAAACCAGTTAAAACAAATTCTTTTTGTGTGTGTATTTTTTGTGCTGTATTTTTTTATAATAAAAGGACACAAAATGAAAGAAATAGTAACATTATTTTGCCTTTCTTTCCCATAGCAGAAGCTGTTGACTTTTTCTTAAATCAGTGTTTTTCTCTCTGGAAGTATTAGCAGCCAGCCTGTCTATCCTCTGGGGGCTGGCTGACCCTCCTGCAGGCTTCCACTGTGATTCATTTTAATCAGGCAGTGATTTTCACCCCTAACGCCAGGTGAGGTGACTTTCTAACCACTTAATGATTATAATTAATCAATGAAGCACAAAGGCACGATAATCCGAACCCGCCCAGCGAAAATCCACAGCTCCGTTGAAACAGGCAGCACTAGAGCATTACGTATACTAGCATGATTCAAGCTATAGGGCCAAGCCGAGCTGTACTGGGCTGGCATGATTACACATCCACCAGAGATGCTGGAAAGGACAATGTGAAAAGAAAATAACCGAGCCAGCACAGTATGGTTGGGGTCAGCCCTGTAGTGTGAATCAGAAAACTGTGTACTCCAGGCCACTGCCCTGGTTTGACTTGAAGGAACGGGGGAGTAATGTCTTTGCTCGTGTGTTTCACCCACTGACACTTGTCCTTTATCCCTACCCTCTGCTGTAGCGTAGCACTTTCCCCTCTCACAACACGTCATCACTGCCTCTGTGAAATGACTGGGGGAGAACTAGAAGTCAGCATGTACCTAGGGCTGGAATCAATCCGTATCTTTGAAGTTCAGCACTATAGCGCGCTTGAAATTTAGAGGTAATTTTCGATTGAGCCAACATATGCAGCCTTTACCCTTAGCCGGTTTCAATTGTAGACAATTTCCTGCCTTAGTTAATGTGGTTGCTAATTAACTGCATGACGAGTCACAGCTAATAAGCAGTGGGGTACAAATGAGCTCCTAAAACAGCTCAAGTGAGCTGGATACAGTGGAGTAACTAAGGTTACTAAGAACCATGTCCAATTGCTGACACAAAAAAAGCTACGTTTGGTAAAAATGTGGTATGTGGATCATGGTCAAGCTTAGGCAAACGATGAAGGAAAATAAGAGGCTACATTTACATTTACATTTTAGTCATTTAGCAGACGCTCTTATCCAGAGCGATTTACAGTTAGTGAGTGCATACATAATTTTTTAATATTTAATCCCCTTGAGTCAACATCCGTGCCCCCGCATAAATCTTGTTGTTTTGATACTTCAAGGGGTCTTAAAATTCAAAATCAAATAGCAAAATGATCCTTGGTATGACCTTCTTAAAACAATTCCATCTAGCTTAGTAGAACCCCCCCCCCCCCCCCCCCCTGCTTAGACAGGGCTTAGACTCTTATGGGTTAATGAAATGGCATTGCACCTCTCACTAATATTATCCTCACTATGATGAGGTTTGGATATAAGGTCCCTCTTTTCCTTTTGCACCAAATCATGTCCAGATCATCCTAAAGGATCTACAAAATGATTGTGTAACTCAACAAGTTACTTGTAGATGGTTTGGACATGATTTGGAAAATGCTAATTTAGGTACCATTGGATTGCCGGGGGGCAAATTGCCCCATTGAAGTCCAACACCAGCAACAAGTTTGCGTAACTTTCAAAATACATAAATCATCCCTGTATGATGCATTTTTCATCATGTGATGCTACAGTGGGGAAAAAAAGTATTTAGTCAGCCACCAATTGTGCAAGTTCTCCCACTTAAAAAGATGAGAGAGGCCTGTAATTTTCATCATAGGTACATGTCAACTATTTTCTGGATTTTTTTTCTCCAGAAAATCACATTGTAGGATTTTTTATGAATTTATTTGCGAATTATGGTGGAAATAAGTATTTGGTCACCTACAAACAAGCAAGATTTCTGGCTCTCACAGA